GACAGCGCCCTTTCCTCCTATATGATACATTTATTCAACTGAGCCAATGATTAACTATTTTAACATTATTCAGATTGCTAGTTTGAGCACAACATCGTCTACCTCTTCTTTACTCTCAAAGAACGAATATTAGATCATTTGCACATAACTTATTACCGCTTCAGCCAGGGCTACCAGGTGCACCTGGAGCCGACTGCTTCACTGGAGTCGGCGAGAAAGGTGCTCCCGGCAAAGCCGGTTTGCGTGGACCTCGAGGATCTCAGGGTAAAGACGGCGAGCATGGACCTTGTGGCCCACCTGGGAATCCAGGACCACAAGGTTTACCCGGCATGGGTGGAGTTTCTGGAGCTAATGGAACTGTTGGGCCGGTGAGGAGAGATTTTAGGACTTTAAGTTCCAAACTGGTGAAATGTGACATTTGCAGCAAGGAGAAGCTGGACAACCTGGTGACGATAGCGGCTATTGTAAATGCCCTGATCGTGAAGAAGTAAATTTGTTGTTGAAATCTGCTCTGTACTTGTAAGATCCGGAAAATCAATAAACATTTTCATTGTATTGTGATAAGAGCTAGCTACATCCGTGTCATACCCGTACAAACGCATTGTCTACCTAAATGCACCAAATTCAACTTAATCTTCTTGTTTTTGGATCTGATGACGTTGATGGCATATCATCACTGGCTCTCTTCTTCACATCTAATTTCTTCTTCTTTTTTCTGGATTTTGGCGATTCAACGCGACTTTCCCGTCCTTCCTCAACCTAAATATTTACAGTTTTTTCTGAAGTGTGCGAAAGTAAATCTCCTTAAAAACACACCCTGACCGCCCATTGCCTTTCCAAAAAACGAAGTATGTACGGTTTCTTATCGTTAGTAATCTGCTTCTCATCATCACGGCGTGGCACGTGGTAAGCGACTTTCGTATTTTTTACCCCATCGTTTACCTTAATGCACTTATTTATCTTCGACTTGTCAAGCTTACGGATAAAAAGAACAGCTGCACTTTTGAAGTGTGAAAGTACTGTTATTCTAGCACGTATTTGCAGTTACTTATAAAAGACATTGCTATAGATCTTTGTTCAGAAAGTTCATAGAGAGCAAAAATGAAAACAAAAATAATTGTTTTA